AGAGACAGAGAAACGAACACACAAAGAATGAATCAGAATGTGTGCAGGCATGTGTGTGTGTGTGTGTGTGTGTGTGTGTGTGTGTGTGAGAGAGAGAGAGAGAGAGGCAGACAGACAGACAGGAGAAAGTAAGAGAAGAGTAAATTCATGCACAGACGAAATAGCAGGAAAGTTGGCTCAAATACCCAACAGAAACCCTTCTGAGCAGTCTGAAAACCCTCAAGGTCCTACATGGAAGAGATTACATTTGTGACAAAATTCCAACACAGGAAAGGGACTGGAGGAATTCCCAGAGGGCTCTGAAGTACCACAAGAAGAGCGAGGTGAAGGGTCATCCACTCTGCTCAGCAAGGGCACTCTTGGTTTTCACTGGACAGTTTGTCACCTATACCCATAAAGGCTGCAGGAGCCTTCTCCCACAGCAGGCATCCATGGAATTGGACAAGGTTTTCATTTGTTCTTGGAGGATGGGCCCTAACTAGTCAGGCTTGACACAGTACCTGTGATCCCAGCATGAAAGGGCAGTTTGGGCTATAAAAAGACAGTGTCTTTTTTTTTTTTTAAGATTTATTTATTTTTATATGTATGACTGTGTTGCTCATGTGCTTGGCTTATTTTTTTATGTCAACTTGACACATGCTAGACTCATCTAAGAGGAGGAAACCTCCATTGAGAAAATGCCTCCATAAAACTGGATTGTAGGCAAGCCTCCACCTGCCTCTGCCTTCCTAGTGCTGGGATTAAAGGTGGGCACCACCACTGCCCGGCTCTTTTTGTTTTTTTTGAGGCTGGATTTCTCTGCAAACTGCTGGTTATTCTCATACTTATTTTGTAGGCCAGGCTGGCCTTAAACTCAGGTCTTCTGCCTGCCTCTGCCTCCTGAGTTCTAGGATTAAAGATGTGAGCCACCACTGTCTGGCAGGGTGTTTTCTTAAATAGTGATTGATAGGGGAGAGCCCAGCCCATTGTGGGTGGTACCATCCCTGAGTTGGTGATCCTGGGTTCTGTAAGAAAGCAGGGGGGAGTGGGGGGTGCTGGAGGGATGGCTCAGCGGTTAAGAGCACTGGTTGCTTTTCCAGAGGATCTGGGTTCAATTCCATGTGGCAGCTTATAACTGTTTGTAACTCTGATTCCAGGCGAATCTGACCCCTTCACACCAATATACATAAAATAATTATAAAAAGAAAAAAAAGAGAGAGAGAAAAAGCAGGCTGAGCAAGCTAAGAAGCAGCATCCCTCCATGCCTCTGGATCAGTTCTTGCTACCAGATTCCTTCCCTGCTTGAGTTCTCATCCTGACTTCCTTTGATGATGAACTGTGATGTACAAGAATAAGTCAAATAAACCCTTTCTTCTCCAAGTTGTTTTTGGTCAGGGTGTTTTGTCACAGAATAACAACCTTAAGACAGCCAACAAATGATATGTAAGGGTACTTCACGTATGCCTGATGCTTATGGAGGCCAGAAGAGGGTGCCAAATTCCCTGGTTCTAGAGTTATGGATGATTTGGAAGAGCAGCAAGTGCTCTTAACCACTGAGCCAGTGTTTCACGTCTTAAGAACCAACAGGGCTGGCAAGATGGCTCACAGGGTACCACCAAACCTCACAACCCAAGTTCAGTCCCTGGGGCCTACATGGTAGGAGAGAACCAACTTCTACAGGTTGTCTTCTGACTGCCACACATGTGGGGGCGGCATGCATATATCCACACATAAGCATACAATAAGAGTCATTTTAAAAATAAATCAGGGGCTGGGGAGATGGCTCAGCAGTTAAGAACACTTATTGTTGCACAGGGTCTGGGTTTGGTTCAGCCCTCACATACTGCTCAGAACCATCTGTAATTCCAGTGTCAGGGTATCTGATGTTCTCTTCTGACCTCCATGGACACCACACACACACGGTACATATACATACATTTGTATAAAATACCCATACACACAAAATAATGTATCACTTCATTGAAGGTAAGACTCAGGACAATGTGGGTGGGAAAGAAGAGAGCTGGAACATGTGGAGAGCAAGCAGAGCTTCCCGAGCTAGAAAACAAATCCCTGCCAACAAGCTCCCCACAAATGGGGAAACCGAGGTTCTCTCCAGCAGGTTGTAGCAGTTACCTGAGGTCACAGCAGCAGAAAGGTCAGTCCTGGAAATCAAGCTGCTTGACCCAAACCCTGAACTCCTGGTTCCTGTGACAGTTAGTGACAAAGGTCCATGAAGGTGTCAGTTGTTGGGAGCAATAGGAGTGGCGACTCAAGCACTTGAGAGGCAGAGGCAGAAGGGTCAGCACAAGCGTGAGAACAGCCTGGTCTGTGTTAATTCCAAGCCAGCCATGACTGTATAAACAGACACAGGAAAAAAAAAAAAAAAAAAAAAACCAACACATGCACCACAAACAAACAAACAAGCAAACCAGCATAGGGAAACACTGAGGACAGGTGCTTCCTGATTATGGCTTCTTTAGCATGGACACCTGCTAGGAGCTGATAGGGATGGAGTGTTCAGAAGGTGGGCAAGGAGGATGCCAGGGTGCCTTCAACCTGGACATCATGTGGAGCCATGAGCATTTGGATCTATCAGACCTGCCCAGAAGTCAGCTCACAGAAAACAGGTGAGGCTTTCCCTTATGTAATATGAGTGGGTTTTGATTGTACATGTATGTGCGAGTGTGCATGCACCTGTGTGCATGTGTGTGTGACAGCTGGAGGCCAACTTCAGGTGTCAATCATTCCTTGGGGTGCTGTTCACCTCTTTTTAAAGATAGGCTGGCCTTCAATTCACAAGTGATCCACTTGCTTCTGCCTCCCAAGCACACTTGGGCTTTTTAGTATGGGCTCTGGGAAAGACCTAGTGTCACACAATAAAGAGGGGATAGAAAAGTCACAGCACTGAATATCACCAGTAGGAAAATGGTTAGAAACAGAGGCTGAGGCAGCTCTTGCTTTTGATAAGGAGAGATCTCCATGTTAACTGGAAAAAAACAAAGTTGAGGTTGGTGTGCATATTGCTTCTGTCTGTGTGAGGAGATCCAAAGGATATGCACACTGATTCAAATGCATAAAATAGTTCAGAACACAGAACAAACTAACTAATCCCTCTGGTGAGAATGAGTAGCTGGGGAAAGAGGTTGGAAGGAGTCCTCATATCTACTCAACCCTGTTCTTCTGGGAGATAGCTCAGCAGGCAAAGGGCCTGGTTACCAACCTGATCACCTGAGTTTCATCCCAAGGACCTGCTTGGTGGAAGAAGGGAGCCCATTCCTAAAGGTATCTTCTGACTTCACAAGCACCCAGACCTGACTTTGCCCAGCCCCCCACAAATAAATAAATAAACAAACAAATAAGTAAATGTGAAAACATCAGTAACAACAAAACCTTTACGAGTTGGGGACACAGCTGTGTTGGTAAAGTGCTTGCATAACATTCAGGGAGCCCTGGGTTTGATCCCTCATAAAGATTTGGCTTGGGGTACACATCTATAACCCCAGCAGTCATTTGGAGGATAAGGTAGGAGGACTGCCATGAGTTTGAGGCCAACCTGGACTGCACAGTGAATACCAAGCCATCCAGAAATGCATTAATTATATCCTATCTCAACAACTTAGCATTCTCTTTTTGGTGAAAGCCCTAATTGTGAGATTAGATGCCATCCAAAGTTAGAATTTTTAAGGGGTATTCAAGAAATCAGGTTAAAATCTTACTTCTATTATCTTTAATTATGTGTGTCTGTGTGCTAGTGCAGGTACCCATGGAACCCAGAGTCATTATATTCCCTGGAGCTAGAGTCACAGAGGGTTATTAGCCACCATGTGGGTGCTGGGAACCAAATCTAGGTCCTCTGCTTAAGCAGACAGTGCTCTTAACTGCTAAGGCATTTCTCTAGTCCTTGCTTTATTTAATTTTTAAAAATCTACAGAGCGAGTTCTAGGACAGCCAGGGCTACCCAGTGAAACTCTGCCTTGAAAAAACAAAACAACAATAACTTATTATGGGTACACGAGTGTGTAAAGGTATGTATGGGTTGGACAACAACTGTGGGAATCCATTTCTCATTCTACCATGTGGATCCTAGGGACTGAACTCAGGTTAGGAATTGGGGTAGGTGCATTTGTCTGTTTAGCCATCTCACTGGCCCAGTTTTTTGTTATTTTTTTTTTTTTTTTAAAGACAAGGGATCATATAGTCCAGGCTGACTACCATGCCAGGTTTTATGAAGTGTTAGAGAATATATCCAGGCTTGATACATGTTAGGCAATACTTTAATGATTTACTAATTGAGCTATACTATACCCCCTCCTCTAAAAAAAAAAAAAAAAAGGATTCATTTGTGAGTATGGAGAGAGAATGTGTGTTTGTGTACACGTGTCTGTGCTTGGAGGGTCAAAAGAAGGTGTGAGGTGCTAGAGTTACAAGCCTCCAGCCATGGGTGCTGAGAACAGGACACCTTGGGTCTTCTCAAAGAGCAGGAAACACTCTTAACCACAGGGCCATCAATCTACCCCCATGGCTGGCTCCGACTGACACAGAAGCTCACGTTGTTGCCCTGGCTGACCTCTAACTAACTTTTGGTGATCTTGTCTCTGCCTCCTCAGTGCCAGGGTTACAGGTATTTGCCACTATATTAGCTTGGATGACTCCTAAACCTGTGGAGAAAGACACTTAGTAGATGTGGATATTTTCTTTAGAAACTGTTTTCCTTTTAATTTACCATTTAACCAAAAGGTGGTTGGGCATCTGGAACCAAAACAATCTAAGATGGCCTCAAAAGGCCTACCTCCTTATAACACAAAACACAAACGGATAAAACCAGAAGTTGTGACGGGGTGTTCCCTCAGTTCTTTCCAGAGAAGACTAAGCACAGACTTTCACACATGACTTAGCAAATACTGGCTGGCCATGCCCGCCACCCCCAAGTAAGTGTGAAATAGATAGGACCTCTCCAGACAAGCCATTCATACCACCTGCTTCTTCCTCAGCTACAAACAAGCACTCAACCATCTGGCTGAAGGAACCATTTGTTTACTCTGTTTAATGGGAGGTGACAATGTCCCCCAAAAGAAAAAAAACAACTCTAGATGTAATAGCTGTTCCCAGGAGACTGGAGGTGGTGGCTCCCATGAGCAGCTTAGAGGAATCAACCATACAGGACTCAAGTATTGGGCCCTGTTTTTCTTTTCTTTTCTTTTCCCCCCCAGAAACTCTGCACCTGGGCTCCCCAGGTGGTGGGGTCCCTGGAGCTGCCATTAGGGACAGGATCAGCTGAGGCACTCCATGCTTGCTCTGACTCGCTCCATCTCATGCAGGAAGCTGTAGAACTGAGGCAAGGTTAGTTCTGGGGAGAGAAAATTCAGTTTGAGGTGAGTGTTTCCAATGCTGCAGAATCATCCAGGAAAATCCATATCTACTTGCAATTGCTGTACTGATGTGACACGGAGCAGAGCCAGGGCCTTGTGTACACAGTGCTCTCCCCCAGGCTGACATCTATTTTCTTCAGTACATCTCAGCAGCTCTCTTTCTTTTTGTGGTGCTGGGACTCAAACCCCAGTCTGTAGCATGCTAGGCAAGGGCTCCACTGAGCTACGTGCAGCTAAGCGGTTCCCGATACATAAACCATCACAATAAGGCACACGCAGGCTTGACCATGCAAGGGCCTCAGCTCTAGAGAACTCAAGTGTTTATACAAATGGTGTCTATGCAGAAGCATGGAGGGTTTCACAGTGCACATTCTTTGGGATGTTCAGGGATGTCCACAAGAGTTTCTTGCCTCCAATCTGCTTCCATTCTAGACACCTCCACCCCATTTGTTTGTCTTCTACTCAGGGTTTCCAATCTCCCTCTCAACAGCTTAGTAACAACCCTGGCACTAAGCTTCGTGAGAGGGAAGGAGTGGATGGGTGCTCTAGAGCTTGGTGATAACCTTGTCTTAGAGAGATGGGCAGACTTCACCAGCCCAGGTGACTGAAGAAAGAAGTGGAAAGCTTCAAAACAGGGTTATAGACTCACCTATATACACATTTTCAGTTTGTTTTCCTTTCTTAATCACCAACTTTAACTGAAAGAAAAAAGGGGGTGTGGAGAAAATAAATAAATTGGGCAGTGGTGGCACAGGCCTTTAATCCCAGTACTTGGAAGACAGAAGCAGGCTGATCTCAGTGAGTTCAAAGCCAGCCAGGTCTACAAAGCAAATTCCAGGACAGCCAGGACTGTTGCACAGAGAAACACTGTCTCGAAAAAAACAAAACAAACAAACAAAAAAATTTGAGACAGGACCTCATGAAGCCTCAGATGGCCTTGAACTTTCTTCTTTTTTAAAGAAAATAATTTTTTATTTTATGTGCACTGGTGTTTTGCCTGCATGTATGCCTATGTGAGGGTGTCAGACTCCCTGAAACTGGAGTTACAGTTGTGAGCAGCCATGTGGGTGTTGCAGATTGAACCTGGGTCCTCTGGATGAGTAGTCAGTGCTCTTAACTGGTGAGCCATCTTTCAAGTCCCCTGGCTTTGAACTTTTGATGTTTGAAAATTCTGAGAGTGGGGATTACACGTCTGTGCCACCATGTTCAGCTTTTAATAACTTTTAACCAGGTTGACATTTCCCATTTCCACTTATCACAGACTTACCTGTAAAAATATGCTTCCCACTTTCTCTAATTCACTGCTTCCAGATGACACTGTAACACACACACAAAAAAAAGAACACTAACTGACTGACCGAGGGCTTCTAAAGAGCTCAATATAGCAGGCTATCTAGAGCAGCCATGTTGGGGGGGGAACATGAGCCAGCAAGATGGGACCAAGAATGGAGGTGGCTAAAGGCTGTCAGCTGGCTGGCCCCCAATGGTATCTAAGATCAAGATCAGGTCTTCCCCCACCCAGGCTCTCCAAAAGTGTCTACAGTCCAGGCCCAGCACAGCCGAACATGTGCCCAGGAATGGATCCATCTAGTTACCTCCAAATCGCCACTCCATATCAATTAGCTGGTTAATCATCAGGGTCTGACCTATGGCCCAGTGTGCAAGGGCTGGGGCATTCTGCTTCCACTGGAAGAAAAGAAAAGGCCAATGTCATCAGAATGGGGACAATCAGTCCCTATCCCCCTGCTCCAAGCAGGGGGCTCAACAGAGAGGGAAGAAAGCTGACCATGGGCTGATTCTACATGCATGCACATACCCAAGACGTGGCAGCAATACAGTCTTTCCACAGGGCATCATGATGACCGTGAATTTGCTATGTAGCAGAGGCTGGCCTTGAGTCCCACTCCTAGTGCTAGGATTATAGGCATGTACCACTATACCCAGTTTAAAATTTTTCATTCCAAGATTTAACCCATTTGGGACACAATGACATTAATATTTGGTCAAGCCAAAGAAGAAATCTGAGGGCTGCCCTAAGCAGAGCTGGCGGACAGCTGCAGGTGTGTCATTCCTGTGAAGCTGACTGGAGGAGGGATGGGATGGTTTTGTCTCTCTCTGCAACTTTGCCCCCTTTCCCTTCTTTCCTTTCCAGGAAATAAAAAGCCAGGATCTTAACCTTGATTAACAGAATTATACCTTTTCAGAAAAGTAAGTGGCTTTCTCCTCACTAAGACCTGTAAGAGAACAGAAGGATAATTAACATAACAAAGAGCTCAGAGGCCTTCCACTCCCCAGGCAACCCCAGGCAACCTACCTAGAGTCAGAAGATCAGTCTGCACCTGCTCTGCAGTGAGGCCCTTCTTCAGTGCACCTTGCAGGCAGGGGAGAAACCATAAGGCGTAAATGAGTGCACGGGTCAGTAGTATTTGTTGGACCCAACATACCCGTGATGTTTAAGACAAAAGCAATATGCTTCAGGAAGGTCTCCAGTGGCTGGGGGAGAAAATGCAGCCCTGAAACCACCATGGGGCAGGCAAGGCACAAAGTCTGTTCACTGCACAGGGGGCTCAGCCACCCTCAGGGATGCTGGACTGAGCTAGAGACAACAGAAAAGACTGGACCTGGGACAGGCCAGAGGAGGGAAGAATGAGCAAGGCTACAGTCCTGGAGACCCACGGCAGCCTGGCACAAAAGCATAGTTAAAACCGGAGTGCAACCACGCATGGAGGTGCACGCCTTTGATCCCAGCACTTGGCAGGCAGAAGCAGGCAGATTTCTGAGTTCAAGGCCAGCCAGCCTGCTCTACAGGACTGCCCTGGCCCAGGACATCCAAGGCTATACAGAGAAACCGTCTCAAACAAACAAAACAAAGCAAAAGCTGAGTGGGGTTAGGAGATGCAGCTCAGCTGGCCCCTGGAGCTGTGGGTGCTGGGATGATGAACTTGGGTTTTCTGGAAGAGTAGCTAGTACACTTAACTGCTGAAAATCCTACTGCCTCAGCTTCCCCAATGTTGGGATTATAGGAGGTAGTCATCACTAGTGTTGCTGTATCCATCCATGTTGATCTAAGGCAGGTTTCTATCACTGGGCATTGGCTTTCACAGTTCCCTCTGCCAGGAACAGCCTTCTCCGATCTGTACAGGACTCATCCCCTATTGCATTCAGACCCCCATGAATCTCAAACCTTTGGAAAGGACCCATGACAGCACCACTTAAAAATTCCCTTGTGGGGGCTGGAGAGGGCTCTTTCAGAGGACCTGACTGAGTTCAGCTGACAGAACCCGTGTGGGGTGATCCACGGGCCCCAGTTACTCTAGCTTCAGTTGGATCCAATGCCTTTGGCCTGTGAGGGCATCTGCACTGATGTGCATATTACTCTCCCCACCTGCCAGACACACATGCATAGATATAACTAAAAGAAAACAAAAGGCACAGTAGATATGACAGTATAGCTCAGTGGTAGAGGGCTTGCTCTGCCAGGTCCTCAAAATGAATAAATAAATGAAATATACACATAAAACAAATGAACTAAATAATAACAGGAAAAATTAAAGATTTTTTTTTTTTTTTTGTCTTTTGGAGACACTCCAAAATGTGGGAGGCTCTGTGCGCGCGCGCACACACACACACACACACACACACACACACACACACACACACACACACACACAGAGAGAGAGAGAGAGAGAGAGAGAGAGAGAGAGGGAGGGAGAGGCCGACCATTGGTGAGCACTATATGGTGGGAATCATTCTTTCATTTTACCTGACTACAGACAAAACAATGCTGGGGAGTATGAATGGGAAATTACCTTTTAATAGAAAATACAAGTCAGTACTGCATTACCCCCAAAGGCCAGACAGCTTGCTAGGAAGAAGCAGCGATTTGAGTAAGTCCCTGGACAAGTCCATATAGATGAGAACACAGAAGGGCAGCTGCCACTCCACTTTAGACTATTATCTTTCCCACCCACTTTGTTTTGTTTCCTCTGGTGCTGGAGACTAAACCAGGGCCTTGTGCACTCCAGGCAGGTGCTCTGTTTATCATCAGCTCATCTTTCTCTCCATCCTTCCAACAGTGAACTCCAGGGGTCCCCTCAGCTCTATTTCATCCCTGAAGGTGATTATCAGAGGTGAAGAACTAGGACAGAGGTCTCCATAGTGAGCAAGCAAGGAGTGCAGAAGGCCCCACTCCCCAGAAACCAAATAAATGCAGGCTAGGGCCCTATGTGGACCCTGCTGACTGGGAGGACAATGGCCGTAATCGAACACAGTGCAGCAGACAATGAGGAACCCTGAACAGTGGCTGCAAGATTTCCTTTCGGATAGGATAGCAGCCCTTATCTTTCACAGATAGATAACTAGACATTCCGGAATGAAATCTTTGTGTGCTACTTGCTTTAAACAAATCCAACAGTGAGGGGCAAGTGAAATAACTCAGGGAAGGGCTGATAGTTGTTCCAGTGGGATATTCTCAGTTAGAATATCGGACCTCTGACAGTGGAACCAGGATGTATCCCTGATGCACAAAAGGACTTCGGGAGCACATTCCCCACGGAGGGATACTCCCTTAGCCTAGAGACATGAGGGAGGGCGTAGGCCCTACCCCAAATGACTTGTCAGATTCTGATGATCCCTCCTGGAAGGCCTCACCCTTCCTGGGGAGTGGGTGGGGAATGGTATGGGGGGGCATGGAAGGGTGTGAGGGAGAGGGAACTGGGATTGATATGTAAAATAAGAAAAAATAATTAAAAAAAACTACATAAAAGGCAAGGTATGATGGTGCATGCCTTTAATTGAAGCATTATGGATGCTGTGGCAGTCAGGTCTCTAAGTTCCATACTAGCCTGGTCTACATAGCAAGTTCTAGGCTAGACAAAGGCTACACAGTGACACCCTATCTCAAAAAACCCCCAAAACCCAACCAACCAACCAACCCCCAAAAAACTCACACGCTGATGTGGTGTAATTCCAGTACTCAGATAGCTGAGGCAGAAGACTTGTGGGTTAGATGACAGTCTGCATTGCAGATTGAAACCTTGTCTCAAAACAAGAAATTGGACTCAGAAGGCAGAGGCAGGTGGATCTCTTGGATCTACAGTGGATCTACAGTGAGGTCTAGAACAGCCAGGGCTACATAGTGAGGCCTGTCTCATAAACAAACAAAACAAACAATGGAAAAACAAGTAATCATTCTCCAAAGCTTTCCCTTGACATGCTCTCTAGCCCACCGTGGTTCAGTGGGGAACTATTTCACAGATACTGGTTAAGCTGGCTTCTTTACTGCGGGGTTTGTGTATGGTTCCAAGGCTGGCTGGCGCTATGGGCAGGAAGACCTTCTGGCTGCAGGAAGTGACCCAGTGAGTTCCTGAGGTCCTTTCAGCTCTAACAGGCCACATTACAACTAGTTTAATGGCAGAAGGATGTGGACTGTTGTCTGGTTTTTTTTTTTTTTGTTTTTTGTTTTGTTTTTGCCTTTGTTTTGAGATAGAGAGTAATGAATGCTAGGTAGCTTCAAACTTGTGATCTTCCCGTCTCAGTCAAGATGTGTTGGGATTACAGGCATGAGGCATCCTGATAGTCCTTATATTTTTATTTTTAATCTACTATAAAAATATCTTAGACTGAGCGAGGCAGTGGTGGCGCACGACTTTAATCCCAGCACTTGGGAGGCAGAGTCCAGGAGGATCTCTGGGGGTTTAAGGCTAGCTTGGTTTAAGGCTAGTTAGTTCCAGATTATACTGCTATACATGGAGGTGCACAACTTTAGTCCCAGAACTAAGGAAGCAGAGGCTGATGGATCTCTGTGAGTTCAAGGCTGTTCTAATTTATATAGTGCACTACAGGACAGACAAGGCTACATAGAGACACTGTCTCAAAATAAGCAAGCAAACAACCATCATTATGGACTGGGGTTTAGGAACAGCTCTTAGTACGGGGAGGAGGCCCTGGATTCCAGGATTCCGGTTTCAGCATAACACCACAAGAAGAAAACAGCCAGCTGTGGTAGGGCATGCATTTGATCCCAGAGGCAGAGGCAGGAGGATTTCTGTGCATTGGAGATCATCCTCTCTACACAGCAAGTTTCAAAACTGTCAGGGCTACATAGTAAGACCCTGTCTGGGAGGGGGAGGGGAGAGAGAGAGAGATTGAGGTTCAGGCAACACTGGTGAACCGAACCCTTTAGTTTCTGGACTTAGGGAATGGAGGACTGGACCCAGATACAGACCCAGCTTTGAGCTGCATGGTTTCTCTGCTGTCAGCAAGCTGCACCTGGGCATCCTCTGGGTACTGGCTTACAGGCCTTTTAGAATACTACAAGTCCCTCTGATAAATGATACAGTATTGGCATATAATCCATGCATACTGCATACTTTAACTACCATTCAGTTCCTTATTCCCCTTAACATATAATAAATACATGTAAATGCTAGTAATACCATAAAACATGTCTGTCCATGTTGCATACAGGCATGATTTTTAAAAATGTTTAAGGTGGGCTGAAGAGATGGCTCAGTGGTAAGTGCACTGGCTGTTCTTCCAGAGGACCTGTGTTTAATTCCTAGCAGCCACATGGCAGCTCACACCTGCTTATAATTCTATCTCCAGGGGATCTAATACCTTTATACCAATACACATAAAATAAAGTTAAATACATTATTTAAAAAAAAAAAAAACATGTTTAAGGCATATGCTGTCTCTCATGACTTTAAAAATGTTTTTGATCTGGGGACAGTTGGTTGAGTCCACACAGACCAATGAATACATGAAGAGCTGTAACACTTACCTCCTCCATCAGACTCCACTCTTCAGACTGCATGCCCTGCCATGCCCGGGTATTTATGGGATGCTGCCTGGATGACTCCCTAACTAAAGGGAGGCTCAGGTAGCAGTAGCATCTCATCTCTGTGGAGCTGCTAAGAGTCAACTCACCGTTCGGAACCAGGAGGAGGCTTTTCATAATGCTTTTGAGGGGGCCAAGACTGATCTGATTGGTGGTGGCAAATTCAGAGAGCTGAGCCAGAAAGCTCTCCACCTGCAAAGAAGACAGCACAAATACCTTTACTTACCTCTTAAAAAGATGTTTATTTATGTATGTGAGTATTGGCCTGTAGGTAAGTTTCATGGGATCCATGAAACAAGAATTACAGAGGGTTGTGAGCTGCCACGGGTTCTGGGAACTGAACCCAGGTACTTTGTAAGAGCAGTCAGTACCCAGATCTTCTTCTCTAAGCTCTCAGGCCTTTGGCAAAACCTCCTTAGCACAAAACACCTTACTCACCTCTTTGGGCTCAGTTAGGAAACGGAAAAGCACTTCTGTCAGGGCTGAGAATTGCTGCGGAAGGACAACACAGAGCATCAGCACCGTCTCTGCTCCCTGATGCCCAGCACCCAGGGTACCCACCGCATCCAGTGTCCCCACTCCAACTAGGGTGTCACATCATCTAACTGTAGGCTTTTTTTTTTCTAATTTGTTGAGGCAGGGTCTCTATTTTTTATTTGTGAGACAGGGTCTCACTGTGTATTCCTGACAGCCTAAAGCTGGATACGTAGACCAAGCTGGCCTCGAACTAAGAAACATGCCTACCTCTGTCTCCTGAGTGTCAAGATTAAAGTTTAAAAGTAGTGTATGTGGGAGGGACCCAGAAAATATAGGCAGGCAAAACAGATGAAAAGAGAAATTCTTTGATGTCTTCACCTGAAATGTTACTGTTGGTAGTCTGTTTCTGAGTTTTCTTGTTTTTTGAGAGAAGGTGTCACTGTGTACTACTGGCTTGTTCACCAGGGCCAGCCTGGATCTACATAGTAAGTTCCAGGCTGGCCAGGGCTCCACAGTGAGACCCTGTCTGAAAATAAACAAAAATAGCAATACAATAAATAAAGGTATATAGCCGGGTGTTGGTGACACTCACCCAGCACTTGGGAGGCAGAGGCAGGTGAATCTCTGAGCTCCAGGCCAGCCTGGTCTACAGAGTGAGTTCCAAGAGAACCAGGAATACACAAAGAAACAAACAAATTAAAAATCAACTCAAATAAATACATAAATAAAGTTGTGAGTCACAACGACCGCCTTTGAAGCAGGGTCTGTCTCTTTTGTTTCTTCTGCAGAGACTGTACATTCCTTGGGGGAGGGGGATCACACACCTGTTTTGCAACCTTGATAAGAAACACAGACTGTCTTAGAATTTCTTGATATCGCCTTTTGTCTTCACAGCATCTTAACTCTTGTTAAAATGCACAGGAAGTATTTGTTGTGTAAGTCTTCTTCCTTTGCAGCCTTGCTCAGGATTGCTCATTAGCTATCTCTACCTATCAAAATCTCAACTCTTATCGAAAGTAAACATCAGAAGAGATGTTAAATGTTAGGGAAACTGTTAGGGAAATGTTAGCCAGTGAAAGGTGATACCCCTTCATTTACCAAATCTGCAAAGTCTGGGGACTCAAGCTGTACACTGATGGCTCTGGGGATTACTGGACAACCTTCCTAGAGGACGATGTCATACCATACATCCAATTTTAATGACAACCACAGTCCTAGAATCATGAATTCCCCTGTAAAGAGTATGTAGCTCATATCTGTTCCATCCATGCTTACATAGAGCTTTCTCCTCGGAAAGTACTGTTTACATGAACACACAACAGAAACTTGGCTAGGCAAAGTAGGGCACTCCTGCAATGGCACCCAGCACTTGGGGAGGCAGAGGCAGGAGAATCACTAGCAAGCTAGTCTACAGAGTGGGACCTTGCTCAAGAAACAAACAAACCAGCCATAACTTCCATAGCCCTAGCACTCTGGAGGCTGAGGCAGGAGGATCATGAATTTGAGGTTAGTATAGGCTACATAGTCAATTGGTTTAATTTTAAAAAACAAAACCAAACACATATACATTCATGCACACATATACCATTGCTCTCCTTTGCCCTACTCCTACCCCATTCCATTACTCCCTCCCCCTCCCAATATTCCCCCCATTCTCCAGTGTCTTTTGGGGACCCAATGAGTTTCATTAGGGTTGTTTCCAGGGATTTTGTTTTATATTTTATTTTTTGAGATAGGGCCTTATTACATTGCTTAGCTGACCTTGAATTTATTCTGTAGCCTATGCTTGCCTTGAGCTTGAAATCTTCGTGCCTCAGCCTATTGAATATCTGGAATTGCAGTACAGATGTGTGGCTGATACTTCCTTTAAAAAGTTAATATTTTAAAGCTGGGAAGCCAGGCAGAGGTGGCACATGCCTTTAGTCCCAGCACTCAGGAGGCTGAGGCAAGAGGATCTCTGTGAATTTGAGGCCAGCCTGGTCCACAGATCCAGTTCCAGGACAGCCAGGACTGTTAGATAGAGAAACCCCCGTCTCCAAAAACAAACAAAAACACAAAAAAAAGTTTCCTTAAAAGAATTGTTTGTTTATTTTTAAAGAGCTGGACCTCTTGGCACAGGGATAGTAATCTCAGCTACTCAGAAGGCAGAGGAAGGAGGATTCTAAATTCAAGCTTGGGCAATTTACTGAGAATCAGACTCAAACAAACAAGGCCAGACATAGTGGTACATCCTAGAATCCTAGCCCCGGAAGACAGAGGAAATAAGAGTGCTTTTAGTTCCAGGCCAGTCAGGCATGCAAAGACCTTGTCTAAAATTAAAAGAAAAATGCAACATCAAACCACCACACAGAACTAAGTGTTAACAGGTATTTGAGCATGGTGCCGCCACACACTGTAATCACAACACTTGGGGAAACTAAGGCAGGAAGATCTTGAGTTTGAGGACAGTCAGGGGACAGAAAGACCCTGTCTCAAAGTGAGAGGAAAAAAAAAAAAAAGGAAGAAAGAAAAAGAATCTTGGGGCTGCAAGATGGCTGAGCTAGCAAAGGCACTTGCTGCCAAGCCTGATGACCTGAGTTCAATCCCTGGGACCCACAGATCATCAAAGCATCTAAAGCCAACCTCTAAAGGTTGTTCTACATTCCCCTACAAATGGAAGTCTTCGAGAGAACGCCATTTGAAGTCAGACGCCTGGCTCTGAAGTTCTGGTTCAGACTGGAATTTTTTCTGCCTCTGCCTTTAAAGTGGTGCCACGACAGGCATGTATTACCAATAGATCTTATTTTTGTTATTTATTTATTTATTTATTTTGAGACAGGGTCTCACTATATAGCTCTAGCTAGCCTGGAACTCATTATGTAGGAGAGACTGTTTTTGAATTTGCAGAGATGAACTTGCTTTGTCCTCCAGAATGCTGGGATTAAAGGTGAGCACACTATTCTGTTCTGCATAGTTTGGTTTTTATTCTTCAAGCAGGACTTCTATGTGTGTGGGGAGTTGAGGGCCTCAGCACCTGGGAAGCTAAGACCCAGTCAGGAAAACAACACATAGTACATTTAGAGGGGTGAAGGATTATTATTATTACTATTATTATTATTATTTGACAGGTCTTAGTTCAGACTGGCCTTGAACGAGATATTTAGTAACAGCTAGATCTGAACTTCTAGCCACCTCCTAAGTGCTAGTATTGACAAGGGCCACCGTAACCCATTTATTCTAGTAGGAATACAGGGTGGCCCCAGACGCCCTGTTTGGCTAATACCCGCAGTCTGAACAGGAGGTGCATTCCGAGCTCTACTACAGGGGCAGGCAAACACCATGCCTTTCCGGGACTGGAAAGGGGTGTGGTCACCGGTCTCATCTGATCTTCTTCCGGCTCTGGCCCAGAGCACCACTCAGGCCCGGCCACACTGACACCACACTCGGTTTGCAGTCGACCTGCCCTCCCTAATCTGTCCAACCCGGGGGCCCTCTGAATCCCCTCACTCACGTCTCTAGGAGCCTACAAATCTGTTCCTCAGGGGGTCCCCACCACAGTTGTGAGCCAGGCCACTCCTGAGCCCCTCCCACGCCCAGGCGAGGCCCACCTGCGCGCCCAGCTGGTTCAGCTGCTGCATGTCGCCGCGCACGGCTTCGGGAACCGGGTCCTGCGTGCAGTGCAGGCGACCCATGGCGCCAGGAGCCTGGCCGCCCAGCAGTGGCACTCGCTTCCTCCTCCCCGGCCTCGCTGCGCTTCCGCAGCCGCACTTTCGCCACACTCCCAGTCGCCGTTCTCTGGACGGCGCACGCGCGGCTGCTGGTCTCTGGGAACCGCTCAGAGCATCCTACTGAGATTCCAGATCTGCCTGGGTGACCCTGGGTAAAGCGCGTGACCCTTCTGAGCTTCAGTTTCATTGTTATCTAGGATGACTACTGGTTTTTTTTTTTTTTTTCATCCTCCCAAAACTTTGAGCTCAGAGCTTGGTGCACAGCTATTCCTCAGCCAGTGGCTGGTTGCTGTCCTTAATCACCATTGCTGTTAAGCATTGGGTAAATCTACCTATTAAATGTATCTACCATTTCTCTCTCCTCTATACATTTGGTGCTGGGGATTGGTCCTGGGTCTTGCATGGGCTTGACAAGGACTCTGCCTCTGAGCTACATCAACAGACCCCAGCATATACTTGTGTGCCTACCAGAGGCCAGGCACTGGTAACAGAGGGCTATAAACCAGGCCACTGTAACCCTATGAGAGCTTATATCAGAATGAAGTAGTAGATCTGAAACTTGGACAGACATTAGTGTCATCTGGGCAATCGGCATAACTACCAATTGCAGGGTCCCACCCCCAGTCAAGCTTGGAGAGCAGCAGAATAATGTACATTTTTCATGCATTCCCAGGAGCCACACTTCGAGGGCATCTGATCCAGCTAAGGACTGTTAAAGAGCCTGGGCAGTGTGGTGGTCAGAAGGGTGAGACAGTGAAACTTACTTCAGCTATGATGGGTGGTGTCAAACAGCACTTTCCCAGCATGTTCATATTCAGAACTCAATCCTTGGCGGGGTGGGAAGATCCAAGCCTGTGTTCTTATTCCCAGAAGCTCTCCAGATCCTGGGTAAGTGCTGACCTCATCCTCATTAGACAGGAGAAAATGGAGGCATACTCCCTGGGTCCTAGGAACTCTCCCCCAACCTAAGCAAGGGCTGTATCTGGCACCAAGCCTAGCCTGAGAGTACCCAGGAGCTACCTATAGATCTGGGGGGGGGGGTGGAATTACCTGTTCTGGCACAGGTTTTGGCTCCCACACTTCTCTGAAAAGTCCCTTTGGAAATCCAGAAGCAGTCAACTCACAGGGCACATGTGGCCAAGGACAGTTATGAATTGTCCCAACACAAAACTATAACTATTTAAAACATGGAACTGGGACCAGGGTGTTGGTGGCACATGCCTTTGACCCCAGCACTCGGGAGGCAGAGGCAGGCAGATCTTTGTGAGTTCAAGGCCAGCCTGGTCTATAGAGTGGGTTCCAGTACAGGCTCCAAAGCTACAGAGGAACCCTGTATTGGAAATAAGTAAATAAATAAATAAATGCAGTAAATGACAGAGTCTCATGTAACCCAGGCTGACCTTGATCTTACTGTGCAGCTAAGGCTGGCTTTGAATTTCTGATTCTCTGGCCTTCATCTCCTGAGTGCTCTGGTTATAGATGAATCTAGCCACACTTAATTTTTTCTTTACTTTTTGATTTATTTTATGAGTGTTATCTGTGTGTGAATGTATTGCATCGCTTGTGTATCTGGTACTTGCAGAAGTCAGAAGAGGGCATTGGATTCCTTGAAACTAGAGTTATTGGTGGGAAATATGGATGATTGAAATCCATCATGTAGATGCTGGGAACTAACCCAGGAGCTTTGTAAGAACAAATGCTCTTAACTGCTAAGCTGTCTCTCCAGCCCTTATTTTATTTTATGATTAGGTACTCATAACCTAGCCCTGACTAGCATGGTATTCAAAAGTCTGACAGAGGACTCATCCATCCTCCTGCTTTTGCCTCCAGACTGTTGACATTATAGATATGAGGCCCCACTCCTGCCTTTGCCTCCAGAGTGCTGATAGTATTGGCTTATACCAGCATATCTAACTTTCCTTTCTTTGTTAAGAAACTTCCTGGGGGCTGGATAGATGGCTCAGAGATTAAGAGGACCTGAGTTCAATTCCCAGAAACCACATGGTGGCCCACAACCATCTGTAGTGAGATATGGTGCCCTTCTGGCGTGCAGGCATACATGCAGACAGAACACTCATATATTAAACACACCACACACATTCACACACAGCTCTCAGGAGGCAGAGGTAAGTGGATCTCTGTAAATTCGAGGCCAGCCTGGTCTACAAAGCAAGTTCCAGGACAGCCAGGCCTACACAGAGAAACCCTGTTGTGAAAAATAAATAAATAAATAAATAATAATAATAAGGAGGGGACAGGTACTGGAGAGATGGCTCAACAATTGAGGGCATTGGCTGCTCTTCCAGAGGATCTGAGTTCAATTCCCAGCACCCACTTGGCAACTCACAACTGTCTGTAACTCCAAGATCTGATACCCTCACACAGGCATACATGCAGGCAAAAACATCAGTGCACAGAAAATAAAAATTTAAAAAAAATAAAAGAAAAACTTAAAAAAAAAAGTAAGAAATTCATAACTCACAGAAGCATCACAGTAACCTCTCTTTTTACTTCTAAGCTTTTTGTGGTTGGTTTTGATCTGAAAATATTAAGTGGAAATTTTCAGAAAAATACCAATTCATAAGGTTTAAGCTGCACATCTTTCTGAGTAGCGACAATTTCTTTAGCCAAACCACTCTATTTTACCCTTTGTTCCGTGTATTCACGTTGTATATGCTACTTATCCCTCAGCCCAAGTTTTACCCTCTATGCTTTTGGAGCTAAGTCTCAGTTTGTGGCCCTGAATGACTTGGAGCTCATTGCATAGACCAGGCTAACTTTGAATGAATAGCAATCCTCCTGTCTTTGCTTCCCAAGTGCTGGGATGACACGAGTGTTGGATCACACCTGAACATAACCTTCTTGTTTATAGAAGGATTACCCTGTGTTGTTGTGGCTACAGTCAAGTTTTATAATGGCCCCAAAGTAGGGTGACACTGGCAATATGGTTACGCCAGACAAAAGCTATAAAGAGCTTCCTTGAAATAAAAGAAGAAAGTTCTTGATAATAAAGAAAGAAAACAATCTGAGCATAATAATGCATGCCTTTAATCCCAGCACTCAGGAGGTAGAGGCAAACAAATTTCTGTGAGTTTGAGGCTAATCTTGTCTACAGAATGAATTCCAGGACAGCCAAAACTACAGAGTCAGACCCTTTCTTGGAAACAAAACAACAACAAAACCACACACACACCTCACCTCACACACACACACACCAAAAAAAAAAAAAAAAAAAAAAAAAAAAAGAAAAGAAAGAAAAAAAGAAAACAAGAAAAAAAGAAAAAGAAAACAAAGAGAGAAAGAAAGAAAGAAAACCAAACAACATTGGCCAGATGTGGTGGCACTTACCTGTAATCCTAGTACAGGTTGAGGTTAGAGGTAACTAGGATTTAAAGCCTGCCAAGGTTATGGAGTATAGACAGAGGTATACAACAACACCTGTCTCAAACAACAATAAACACATTTGCACTATCATTAATGTCTATGGTGGAATCAAATATCTTCTCTGTGAAACTGTAAGGGGAAAATTATTTGAGCTGGTTAACCAGACAACTGGTATGGTATATCCCCCGCACTTGAGAGCTACAGTCAGGAGGATCAGGAACTCAAGATCAGCAAGTAGAAGGCAAGAATAGCTATATGTGAGCCTGCCTCAATAAAGAAAAACAAAAAACAAAAAACAGGGAACAAAGCTTGGTCGACAGAGCAAGTTCCAGGCCAGCCAGGGTTACACAGTGAGACCCTGTCTCAAAAACAAATGAAGCTTGTTAAGGCACACTTGCCACACAAACCCTTGGCACCTAAGTCTGATGCCTGAGACCTATACGTCTGAAAGAAACAACTCCCAAAAGTTGTCCTCTGACTCTACTAGCAAATGTGGCATGCACACATTTGGGCATACATACACAAACACACACATAACTTTAAAAATTAAAGCCTCTCTGAGTTTGAGGCCAGCATGGTCTACAGAGTGAGTTCCAGGATAGCTAGGGTAAAACCCTGTCTTGGAAAAAAAGAAAAAAGAAAAGAAAAAGAAAAAAAAAAAAAAAAAAAAGAAAAAAAAAGAAACCCTCTTCCTATGTCCCTGCCTTTAGTCCCAATACTTGGGAGGCAGAGGCATGACAATTGCTGAATCTGAGGCCAGCCAGGACTACAGAGTGAGACCCTGTTTCAGGACCAGGGTGGGGGGATAGATAGATATTCCTGATCTCATACAACAGAAGTTGAAGTCACAGTGCTTAGTAAGATGAAACTGCATCTGGCAATGGTGGTAAATTCAAAGCATTAGGGAAATGAAAGCAAGAGAACTCAGGGGATTGGGAAATAGAGGGAGGGAGAGAGAGGGAGGACACAATCATGGTGGCACACACATATAATCTCAGTACTACAGGTTGAGGTTTGGAAGACCAGGAGTTCAGGATCAATACTGGCTACATAATTAGTTCCAGACTAGCTACATGAGACCCCAATCCCTACCCCAAATGTGACATTAAATTTGTAGTTATATATATAAAAAAAATGTTAGTATATCAGCAATGTGTTGAACCCTATAGAAGATTTATTTCATCAAGGGATTAGTACCCTGAAAGGTGTGGTATCAAGCCTTTTATTGCAAGTGAGGAATTGTAAGGAGGAATAAGTTTAGATTGGAAAAATATAAACAACCCAGCAGAGGCTGTATCAACCTTTGAAGAACCTGATGCCACACTACAGCTATCTATCTATCTATCTATCTATCTATCTATCTATCTATCTATCTATCTATCTAATCTTATCTATCTTATCTATCTATCTAGCTATCGACCTACCTACCTACCTACCTATCTTGGAACTCACTCTGTAGGTCAGACTTGCCTGGAACCCACAGGTCCACCAGACTATTTATTTTGATAGGGAATCTCACGTTTGTTGCCACAAAGTATCTGGCAGTGTAGAGGACTGATGAAGAAGAAAGACTAGGGAAAGCGAAGTACATGTAATCCCAGTTCTTAGAAAGCAGAGCCAAGCCAATCTGTCCGCCTGATGCATGTATTAAATTCCTGGCCAGCCAGAGGTACACAGTCTCAA